TTAATGTTATATATAGTATAGGGTGTATTTTATACTTTTAAAATACTAGGTGGTCTAATTTAATAAATTATACTTTTAATTTAATTAAATTTAAACCAAAACTTTATGGAATTATTAACTCTCTTTTAATTATACACTTTAGTTAATTAATAAAACCATAAGGGTGTAATTTGAACTTTTCAAAATACTAGGGTTTTAATCATATTTAACTTTTTCGAAAAATTAAAACTTTTTAATTTTTGAACTCTTAAATATTAAAAAATATTGATTTAATAATTATCCAAAATTAAACAATTAATTTAAAATTATTAAATCTTGTAGGATTATCTATTAAATCAGACAATTAATTTAATCTAATCCCATATCCCCTAAGATTTGAAAATTTATGGAATGAGATAATCCATAAGATCTTTAATTATCTATTTAAGGAATCAAGGATAATTACAAGATATGGCATTATCCAAATCCTTAAAATTTGGGAATCCTATCTAGGGGACAAGGCAAATTTCGAAATTCTAGGGTTAGACAACCCTAAAATCGAAATCTTGGGGCCAAAGAAAAAGGGTTTAGGAAACCTTACCAAAATTTCGAAATCTAGGGTTTAGAAACCCTAATTTTGAAAATCAAGCCTCCGGGGTTTATTAGCCATAAACCCTAATTGTCATATTCATACATTTGTATCAAATCTAACTGAAAACAAAAACCTAAGGCTCTGATACCACTGATAGGTTTTATACAAACAATCCTATGTGTGCATGCAATCCTAATTGGATCTATGTTTTCACTATTAGACATACAACTTCATGAACACAAAAAGAAACCTGGAATACTCCTATGTTTTTCGAAATCCACAAAGGAGAATAGAATACATACCTTTTGTTGTTATATAACAATAACAACTAGTTCCTTGAATTTCCTTAGCTCTTTAAAGCAAGTACCACAAGTGTAGTACCTCTAATGGCTCACAAACACACTTTGGGTGAGAGGATGAATATGATAGAGAGGAAAGGAGGCAAGAGGCTCCAAAATTCGACCTTAGTAGGGTTTCTCCAAGGGTTGGCCGAATTTGGTGCCTTAGGGTGCTATTTATACTTAAGGCTAACTAGGGTTTCAAGGTGGAAACCCTAATCCCTTAGCTTAGGGCCTAAACAAATCCATGGACTCCTTTCCTTAAGCCCTTGGACGAAAACTCCCAGATCCTTCTAGGATTTTCGGCCAGGCCTTAATAAAGGTGATCCCATGGCCCAAAGCCTCAACTATTGAATAATTACAAAATAGCCCCTATACTTTTAATCAATTCCTTTAATCCCAAAATTAATTCTAAATTAATTTCTGATTAAATACTAATTAATAACATGATTCCAAATTATTATATTATTATTATAATATAATAAATAAATCTTATTATTCCCCAATCAACCTCTCTCCTCAACTGTCATCCTGTCTAGTCACCCGTGTGTAGGCAACCCAAAAGGACCATGCTCACAATCGAGTCAAGTAAATACCAAAATAGTTATGGACTTAGACACTAATCCAACAGTATGGGCCCGTACTACTGAAAGCAGAGGATCCGTACTCGAATCAAGGAAGGCTGAGATGAACCCAGGGAACTTGTAGTGTGTGAGATCCCTCGAGTTTGGATGAGTATTGTGATGTTAGCGATGGTATGTTGCCGAGTATAGTGACGCTACGTGGTAGACCAGATGGTAGTTTTGGTGTCGACGAGGGATCAGGCTCGGACTCTGTAGCCGGGCAGCTCGATGCTTAGATGAGGGAGTTCATTCCATCTGAGGTTACGTGCAACATCATTGGCCAGACTCCTGTGATCTTCAGTATGATCAAGGAGGGCATTATAGAGATTTATGATGAGAGGCCGAGTGCATTCTGCACTGAGATAGCAGTCATGATAGGGACCCGTGCGTTGATGTTTCGGGAATTCAGAGTTAGTGAGGCTTCAGATTGGCATGGGGGTTAGGGACCCCATTGTTAGCAGCAGATGGTTGGCAGATGTCACCAACACTTTTCGTACCAGACGTTGTCTAGAAAGGAGACAAGATCCAACTTACTTCCTGTCTCCTGTAGGACAGAGCATGTGATTGATGAAAAAAAAGTTAGTAGTGAGTTGGGTGATGTTGTAGTTAATGTGATGTCGTGGGATGACTTTTCGACCAGATAATGGGGCAGAGTTTGCCCAGACGATTGAGGCGCAACAGTTGGCACAATAGTGGTTAGATCTCCACCAGACGACTGAGACTATGGCAGAGATCATTGTCAAGTCTCGGGAAAGAGCTTATTTGGTACCACAGTATGCAGCAGATGAGGAAATGAAGAAGGTAAGGTAACAAGACATACTCCAAATGATAGCAGGGAGATCGTGAGTAACTCGGGGTGCAAGACCCTCAATGAGATGACCTCTAGAGCACGAGAGTGAGATATTGACTTGGAGCACATTAGGAAAAGGGAACCAGATCAGTTGTTTATATAGAAGGGTATCGGGAGGAGACCCAAGATTTCAGATCAGCTTTTGAGAGGTCTGCAGGGCCAGAATCAGTGCATCAATGGCGGGAAGGGGAGAGTACAACATCATCTTGGTTTATTCCAGGACTAAGGAGCAGCACGAGGAGCGCCCGAGGGAGGTGCTAGAGACTCTGAGGAGGGAGAGACCTTTTGCAAGGTACTACAAATGTGAGTTCTGGTTGCGCAAGATGCAATTTCTTGGACACCTTGTCAATCAGAAGGGTATTCTAGTTGTTCTGGCCAAGATAGAGGCAATGATGCAGTAGGAGATACCGAGGTCTCCAATTGAGATTCAGAGCTTCCTGGGTCTAGCGGGTTATTACCGGAGATTTCTTCGGGTTCTTGGAGGTGGTGTGATCTTTTGGACTGACTAGTATTGAAACACTAGCAATGACAAACGTGGTTTTTAGCGGATTGAGCATAGAATGGTAAGAATGATTGAGAATCCTTCCGGTATTGTGTGTTGTAAGACGTTAGTTGAATCAAAGTGGGGGAGAATCATCCAAGGATTCAGAAGTAGGAGCAGTTTTGAAACTGGGATAAGTTTCGCATCCTTGTTGGAAGGAAGACAGCCCAAGCGGCTGTATGGTTTGAGGATAGTGTGAGATGGAAGTTCAGAAAAGACTTGCCAATAAGGAGATCGCGTTCCCGTAATGTTTGCCAGCAGGCCTTAGGGAATCAGGTTGGGGATTCCAGTCAGGACATGAGTTCAGTTGAGTGCGGGTGTAGCCGTAGCATTCACTAGCAGCCAGATAGTGTTAGAGTGTTGTAAGAGTGCGGGTGTAGCCGTAACATTCACTAGCAGCCAGATAGTGATAGAGTGTTGTAAGTCTGCGGGTGTAGCCGTAGCATTCACTAGCAGCCAGATAGTGTTAGAGTGTTGTAAGTCTGCGGGTGTAACCGTAGCATTCACTAGCATCCGGATAGTGTTAGAGTGTTGTAAGTCTGCGGGTGTAGCCGTAACGTTCACTAGCAGCCAGATAGTGTTAGAGTGTTGTAAGTCTGCGGGTGTAGCCGTAGCATTCACTAGCAGCCAGATAGTGTTAGAGTGTTGTAAGTCTGCGGGTGTAGCCGTAGCATTCACTAGCAGCCATATAGTGTTAGAGTGTTGTAAGTCTGCGGGTGTAGCCGTAGCATTCACTAGGTTGGTAGATAGCGTGAGTGCATTGTTAAGACGCGAAGGAGCAGTAGTACCCACCAGTTCGGGTGTAGCAGTGAGGATATGGAAATCCACATATTTGATTTCAGAATTTCCCAGAAGGATTAGATCAGGTTGAGCCAGTGATAATACTGTAGGAGTGTCACTACAGTTATGGGGTCAGGGAAGCAATGGACCGTATAAGATTGCTTGTGATATAAGGCTACTAGCGATTAGGTAGCAATCATTTTTAGCCTGGGTTTGATGACGTCAGGATTCGACATACGGACCTGATCGGTTGGATCAGGAGGTTGTTAGAGCCTCAGTGACATGATAACTAGTGGCAACTAGTTCCAGAGAAGGATTTGTTCAGAAGTTGTGCGAGTCGACTAAGCAGGTAGCCCTTTGGTTCCACGACCGGGCCGGAACCTGGTATTTCAGATAATTAGTGAACGAACTGAGACCGGGGAGGTCTCGTTAGATCTAGGAGAGCAACTATGTAGCAGTATACTGCTTCAGGCAGTTCAGTGTTCAAACAGTTTCAGCGTTTGGGTAGTGTTAGCATTGGTGCTTCAGGTTGTGAGTACGGGCAGAATAGCTAAATGATTTGGTGAGTGACAAGTCACTCACAGCGGAAATAGTTGAGCATTGGCCAAGTATAAGGGATCTGCAGGGATAATTAGGTTTGTGAACCTGTTTTGTAGTGGGAATTTCGAGCTAGCAGGAGTTGAGTAGTCAGTTGAGGGATAAACGGATTGGATTCAGAGATAATGATTCAGTATGAGTGGTCTGTCAAGGATTCAGACCATCTCGAGACAGCAGATTTCGGGCGGAGTAGATGTTATCTTGTTGCGAAGGTTAGTCACGGCTGCCCTGGGAAGGCTAGGGTGTGCCTAAGATGGTAACCTTGTTACTAGAGTGGTTGGGCGTGTAAGGAAGGGTAAGAAATGATTTCGAGGACGAAATCTAATTTAAGTGGGGGAGAGTTGTAACGCCGTGTTTATTTAAATAAATTAATAAATGTAAGTCTTGGACTACTTTGTGAAGAATTTAGAAGCTGGAGGTTAAAAGTATAAAATCCTGATTTAATTTGTAAGTATTATGGAAGGCAGGGACTAAATGGTAATTTCAGGACCTATTATGAAGAGACTTTTGGAGACGGGGGCTAAAAGGGTAAATTCCGGATTTTATTTTGAAAAAGATTTAGGGAGGAGGGACTAATTTTGGAATATCGGAATTGATGTTGAATAGGGACACGGGAATGAAACCCGGTACCCTTCCTTCACTCTCATTCTTAATGGAACAGCAAACCCTAACCCTAGGAAGCTCTCATCAGCCGCCACCCTTATACCTCCCTCTCCCAGCCGCCTCCCCATTGCCGATGATGACAAGCTCGACTGCCGCTTGCTACCGTGCCAATGGAACGCCACTGTGACTTCCCGACGTCGTGGTTAGAAGAAGCAAACCCCACCTCCGGTGAGCACCTCAGCCGCCATGTGTGAGCACCCCAGTCGCAGTCGCCATTTGGTCGCGCTTTTCCGACCAGCCGAGCCACCGAGCGTAACAACTTTATCTCCGGACGAGGGTAGTCGACGGCGTGGTTTCCGGGTGTGTGCGTCGCCATTTTTCCGCCATCCTCCTCCCCCTTCTTCTTATTTTTCTGTCGTTGCTCATGGTCTGACTCGACTGTTTCGGCGTTGTTCCGACCACCCTTCGCCATCATTTGCCCAACAGACGTGTGGCCGCCGCCACTCCGAGTAGCTGAGGTGCGACGCTGCTACCGCCTCTTCGGGGATTCTGTCGCCGCCAAACGCCACAGGTGGGTGGCTGTGTTACTATTCCGGGCAAATGGTGTAGTGTGTTTTTTGTAGTTCGTGTGTGGCTGCATTTCTTTTGATTAGAGTGTTTTTGTTGGCCGGAAAATGAAGAAAAAAACCACCACCACCATGCGGTGGTGGCTACCGCCACGAGCCACCGCCGGCCACCACTAGGGTGGTTGTGTGTGTGTGTTTATTTTTGGATTAAAAGCCTTGTAACTGTAATTAGCATTGAATAATGAAAAAAATAATAATAACCACCACCGTAAGGTGGTGGCCGCCGCCGTGAGCCGCCATTGACCACCACTACCCGAGGTGGTAGTGGGTGGTGCCCCACTAGCAAAACCCTAATGGACCTAGCAAAACCCTAATGGGCTTAAGGATTAGTTTTGGGCCTATTGGGTCATGTTTGAGTGGAAACCCTAATTATGGTTTAGAAAACCCTAATTGTGAGTAGTTGGGCCTTGGACTTATTGGACCCAATTTTGGGCCATTGATATTGGATTGTGTATTAAGCCCAATGTCTCCATATCATTTATCTAGTAGAGTAAAGGACTTAATGGATTAAGTTCTTAATGGGTTAAGTAAGAAACACTTAACCCTAATCGTCATTTCATGTGAAACCCTAATTTCACTTGGGCTTTGTGTTGGGCCATCCAAGAACAAACAAATGGACTAGAATAATTTAATGGGCCTTAGGGTAAGGCCCATAGGAGGGTTTGGGCCCAATATGGAAAATTGGGCCATAGATGGGCCATAGTTTGGGCCTAGATGGTTGTATGATATTGGGCCCTTAGAATAAGACATGTTGGACTGGATGGAACAATTGGGCCTTAAGTCAAGACCATGTAGAGGTTGGGCCCAATTTGGAAAATTGGGCCATAGTTGGGCCTTGGTCCATTATTAGACCTTTGGGCCTTTGGATTGGGCCTTGGGCTTGAGTCAAGCTAAGATCGGGGTGAGGTAGTCTCTTACCCAAGCATGGACTTATGACTATGAGTTGGAACCCAATTATTAATTGGGTGTTATTTTGATATTGACAGATCGGGAATCTGTCATCCAGAAGCTATGGTGTTGTCAGCAGGACTTCAGCAATGTGAGACGAGTTCTCTTCCAGTAGGAACGGGTCTACGGCCACAATGCCGGCCCGCTTAAATGTTAGTAGTACCGGACTTCGGTCTGATGCAGGGCGGGGCCCGATGCAGTGATTTAGCTTACATGTTAGATGTTAGTAGTACCGGACTTCGGTCTGATGCCGGGCGGGGCCCAATGCAGTGATTTAGCTTACATGTTATATGTTATGTGTTCCGGACTTCGGTCCGATGCTGGGGAAATCCCGAGAAGTAGTTATGTATGCTTGATGTCTTTGTGATTCATGCATGTTTGTGTTATGTGTTATATGTTCCAGGCTTCGGTCCGATGTCGGGCAAGCCCGATGCAATATATATGATTATGTTATATGTTTATGTTTTGTTATGTTCAGTACATTCCGGACTTCGGTCCGATGCAGTGGGCGGGGCCCAAGTTATTCCGGACTTCGGTCCGATGCCGGGCGGGGCCCGATGCAGTGGGCAGGGCCCAAGTTATTCCGGACTTCGGTCCGATGCCGGGCGGGGCCCAAGTTAATCCGGACTTCGGTCCGATGCCGGGCGGCGCCCGATGCAGTGGGCAAGGCCCAGTATGTGTTATTGTGTGGTATGTGGTAGTTTGGGGAGACTCACTAAGCTTCGTGCTTACAGTTTTCAGTTTTGGTTTCAGGTACTCAGTTTTCAAAAGAGGAGCTCGGGAATATTGCAGTGCACACACCATTTGTTAGCCTGGGATGTTTATACTCTGATATATTTTGACATGAGACTTGATACATGACTTATGGTTTTTTTAGAGAAGAAGTTATATATGGTTTTTATTATTAAATTAAAACGAAATTTTTAGACTATATTTTTGGGATGTTACACATATTCCATTCCAACAGAATTAGAATTCTGTTTCCATTCCAATAGAATTTGAATTCTTGATTCTATTCCGACATAATTGGAATGGTATGAAATACACAAACCGATTTAATGCTTCTAGAACATCAGAAGGGACGAGATTAATTTCATCAAGAATTATCCAATGACCATTTCTAGTCTGTTTCAGAAATCAGAACAGAAATCAAAAGCATAATCTATTTGAAAAGAAATAAGAGCGAACGCCACATTAAAAATTAAATCACAGTAATATAATAACAATTTAGCAAACATATGAAATCAGAAATTCAGAATAACATAAAATCGGAAAATAATCAACATCAAAAAATTATCAACTTCTATTTAAAACGACTATGAAAATTCCAAAAATGATTACTTACATATATATGTGGGTTCGTTGATTGAGGAAAACAATAACAACCCTTGACTTGCAGATGCTCACATACCTTATGTGCTGAAAAAAACTAGATAATAAAATAAGAGGAAAACAAATTGCATCAAAAGCTAGATAATAAAGTTTAATTACATGAAATAAATATAATTTAATATCAAAAGTAATCTATAAAGAATGTCATTACTACAAATAACTAAAACCATATTGCTTGTTTTCTTCTTTACTTCAAAAGAAAAAAATTTGACCATTGCCCTCACATAAAGCTTGCATTTCATTTATTTTGATCCCAAAAATAAACAAGGTAGGACCCTCCCACCAAAAAAACATCTGCACTAAAAACTAGCATTAAATGGGTTATGATCAGTTCTAGTATATGTGAATAAAGGAAAAATAAATCTACTGCAAATAAGGTTTTTTTTTTTTTTTTTTTTTTTTTTTTTTTTAAATTCATGGAGAACATATACAATTTCAAGTCGATTATATATAGATTGCAAATAGAGTTCGTATAGCTTTTCATAAATCAATTCAATTGCAAAAATATGATTACCCAACATCAAAAATAAAAAATCAATTAAAAAACTAAAAGATTTCAATAAAGGAAAAAGAAACTTACAAATTTATCGAAGAATGAGAATTATCAATGGATATTGTCTAGAATTTTGATGATCGATTGTAGAAGGAATGCACCTTGGAGTCTCAAGATGGTGGCCTGTAGTTGATGAACACAAACGGCGACATAGGGCTATAGGAGACGAGAAGTGAGGATCCTTTTGTTTTTGGAGAAAGAGGAAACGGTTGTAGATATACAAGAGAAATTAGGTTAAAAGTCAATCTATCAATACCATGATTATAGAGAGTATTTGTGGAAGTTATTAATAAAATTACTAAATTATCCTTATTTATTTAATTAATTATTTAATTTTTTTATTTAATTTTGATTGGTTCACATTTATGTATACAATAACACAATAATTAGTTTAAATATCTGAACCTAGCGCGCTCTCTCTCTCTCTCTCTATATATATATATATATATATATATATATATATATATATATATATATATATATATAATTACTCCACTTAAAATAAGATATAATATAACCTTGATTAATTACGTAACTGCCAAATGGAACCCAATTCCATCGTGCATCAGATTAGTCCGGCTTAAAATTCCCAAATTGCAGGCCCGATGATTAAACAATGCATTCAAATGGAGCCCAGCCCCGTTAAAAGGTGGCTAAATAAACCGGATATGTAATCTGGAGCGGGCTAGTTTTTAGTTTTTAGATCGATTATTATTTGTTACACTTGTACGTGAGAAGTTGCATTTTATTTTTCTAAAATCGGTTTAGACGTAAGACCATCTGTGCCGGTGCATGTTATTATCCTTTTAGGGCGTGTTCGACAAACTAGCTGGTAACGGATATCAGATAGCATGTAGATGGTAACTTTTAGATTTAGAGTGTTTTGTTTAAACTAAAAGTTAAAAATTTGTAGTGTCAAACGAAACTTTTTGTTTAAAACAAAGCGTTTTGTCAAACTCTAGAAACCAGAAGCTCGCAAACGTTTCATGTCAAACACGCCCTCAGTTACGCCATATCAACCATTACAATTATTCTTACATCTATGTAAAATGTAACGCCATACCAACCATTACAATTATTCTTACATCTATGTAAAATGTAACGTTATTTTTCGTTCAAAAGTGGTCCTCAGCTCCTCATTGAGATATCAATAACTAATATACTTTTTTGTTAACATATTATATATACAAGAAAAATGGAGTTGGACCCGACTAAGTCGGGTAGTGTTCATCGGCTAACCACTTTATTCAGCTGAGAATCAGCTTTTCCTTTGATTCATTACTTCCAGCGCCTATATTCTCTAACACCCCGCTCCCGAGTTCAACTTAAGGAGAGAAAAGAAAGGAAATGGGCGGAAATGAGAGGAAAGTAAGAGAGATTAGTGCTCCCGAGTTTCATTAAAGGAAGGAAGTGGAAGGAAATTGAAGGAAAACTTTCTCTCCTAACTTTCCTTCCGATTTGGAAGGATTTGAAAAGAAAGAACAAAATGTTTAACTTTCCTTCCATTTCTCTCCAACTCGGGAGCACAAATGAAAATTTTGTTTTCCTTTCTTTTCTATCCTTATTTTTTTTTTTTTTTTTTTTTCTGTACTTTTCTTTGCTACAACTCGGGAGCCGGGTGTAATGGTTTTGCTCCATGTAACACTTGGCTGCAGAAGGCTTCCTCCATTTGATATTGCCACCATCATGATCATGCTTCCTATGTGTACACGCTTACATGTTTTCTCTTCCTTAGGTGACGATATGTCATCTCCGCTTCATCTGTAAATCGGAAAAACACCACAACAAACGACCGCTATAGACTGTCGCACACCATCTCCTCCATTATGCCAATAACCTGCTATTGCTATTGCTATTGCCATTGCTTCAAATCCACGATTCTTCCAAAAGACTTTCTAGCTCCCACCTCCGACCACATAATTGAGGGAGAGACTTGCTTTGATCGAAGGCATACATGACCATCGCTTATTTAGTATTAATAATTGTATCCGGAAGAGTGAATCCTCGATTTCCCGTTTTCCGTCTACTTGCCTCTCTGGATTCCCGTTGCCAATCAACAGATGAGGTCGATTCCCCAAAGGTGCACAAAGACCATCATACTTTCTCACAGGAACATTTAGCACAATTCCCATTAATTTACTTTCAGGTTCATCAAGATTAATGGAAGAAGCTCTATTACGCCTATCATGCCCAACAACTTTCTTCCCTTTTCTTTCAATTACAGTAATTAGCATGTTTATGTCATAATTACCTGTTAGTGAATTATGATGAAGCTTGATGATAACTGAAAAAGGCATCTGGTTTCCTTCATATGGATCTTCTTGAACAAGTTTTTCAGCTATATCATCCAAATCTTTTCGTGCAAATGCATCCTTCTCCTGAATCACATAAAAAATGAAGAAATTGTTTAACAATTTGCCCATGATCCCAAGAGATGGAACCTAGTACAAACTGAAACACCGTTGTAATCACTGTAATTGATTTCCACACTGGTTTCGTTTGAGAAAGTCGCTAATGATTTCTTATCTAATATTTAGGATACATTTTAAATCATAAGATTACAAGAAATTGATATCTGATTTTGGAACGTATGGAGTAACTAATAAGTTAAATCAACAGAAATTTCAAAAACTCATTATTCCAAACAGTATAACCTGATTTGATTCTTCTCTTCTGTATGCCCAATTGACACATATCAACCATAGAAAATTTATCAATTCTATGAAATTTGAATAGAAACCACATAGGAAAAACAAACCTAGAAGAGATTGTTCAGAGAGCGTAAGAGGCAAAAATGTAACTTCTGTCTTTCATGATATACATGTCGATTTCGGTGGTGTTTGGCAAAAGTAGCTGATAGCTGGTAGCGGGTAGCTGGTGGCGTGTAGCGGATAGCTGGTAGCGGAAACTGTAGGTTTTTTTTGTTATATGAATGTTTGACTTGGAAGCTTTTGAAATATATAAAATTACATAAAAGGACAATTGATTAAAAATAAATAAATATATAAATATAATTTTAAGGGTAATTATGGAATTGGATTTCAAAAGATCAGTAGTGTTTTGTTAAACGCTACATGAAGTAGCTTTTAGAATTTGAACGTTTTGTTTAACTAAAAGCTAAACGCTCGTACTGCCAAACGAAGCTTTTTGTTTAAACTAGAGCGTTTTGTCAAAAGCTAAAAGCTAGAAGCTCCCAAACGCTTCCAAAAGCTTCATGCCAAACACGCCCTTCATGAGGCCAAAGAACAATCAACGCCGATAAATGAAGGCTGAGGCGGCAACGACGGAGGGATTGAGCAACGACTGCGCTGTGAGGATGTGAGGCAGCAACGTCGATCTTGACCGGAGAAGAAGACGGGTTCGATGGGGGAAGGAAAGAGAGCGGCGTTTGTTTTATTATTAGTATTATTATTATTATTTTAATTAAATGAGGTTTGAAAAAACAAGTCAAATGTTGTATGGTACAGAACATTGTATGGTACATAACATGCACAAACATTTTTTTTAGTTTGAAGCCTTTTAAAAAAACAAACTGATGTGAGATTGAAAATGATGCGCATACTGAGTCGTCACGCAACAAAAAGAGGTTGAAAATGATTTTTTTTTTACAAAAAACAAACAACTTCTAATGTTGTGAAAAAAAAAAAACGAGTAATTTTTATGTGAGGTTAGACCTTATGGTATACTCATAACGAGCATGTTCGTGGTCTATGTGGCCACGAACAAAAAATGTGAACACCACCCCATACCTTAGTGGTGGCTAGTGGTGGAAAAATTCGTGGTCAAATGTGGTGGGGAGAACTGACAACAACATCCAATAATTTTTTTTTCTCTCTTCATGTCTCTCTATCTCTCTCTACCTCTCTCTACATTTTAATTAATTAAAAAATATATATTTTTTAATTTAAAAATAAAAAAATAAGAAAAATATATTGGTGGGTATCCCATAGGTTTAGTGGTGGGTATAACGGATGACCTTATGTCATTGCCACTTTGTTATGTTACATCAACGCCACATAAGCAAATAATAATATTACGGGACTGTAACTTGTAAAATGGGTGAACTCACCAAAAAATCGATGAAGTGATAGATTGTTTGAAATAACAAAAAAAAGAGAAATAAAATTGAAAAAATGATCCAGTAATGACTTTTGTGATATTTATCCCAAAAAAAAATTATAATCTATACTACAATAATCTATAGTTCTATACTACTCTGTAACCAACCACCATGATTAAGACGGGTGGGTATTGCTTACGCCTATACCCACGTTATGGTTGCCATATCATCATCTTCTCTCCATAACATCTAAAGGGGGATGATGTTCATTTTTTGAAATGGCATTGAGGAAGAAGAAAAGCAGAAAAACAAAGCAAGGAAGAAAGCAAAACTAGTGATGAAGAAACATAAGTTTTTATGTCTTTTGTTTCTTCAAAAAACAAACAATTTATTTCACATATGTTTGCCCGCCCGCAAACAAGACAAACATAAGTGATGAAGAAAATCTTTCTCAAAAAAGCAAACACCACCCAATTCATGTCCCATTTAAGTCAAAAACAAACAAGACCTTGGTTCTTTTTCAAAGATTCAACAAATTTACAAACGCAACAAGATGAAATCTGTTGTAATTACAAAATGTTACTTGTAGCAATGTTCAATTTCAAATAAAGAAACCGGTTAACCGGACAAAGATGTAGTGGCTGCAAGGTGTGTGAGAGCACGTTTATGGTAATCCACACGCAACTTCTTGTACTTGTGAACAAAACTTGCAACATCCATCTCCTTTTCAAGTAGCTGTTTATGCAGCATTTCAGATTCTTCATCTGTCTTATTTATCAGCTCTGAAACACACACAAACACCATTTTCACACTAAATTAACAACACCTCAAAAATGAAAAACACACATACAAGAATTTATTTACCTTGAAGCTGGTGTAACAAAGAGGCTGGGGAGTAAGATCTGAGGATTTCTGCTTTTTGCCTGTTGAGCTCATTTAGCTTCTCTTCAGCAGTTGCCAACTCAGTTGTCCTTATGATCATGCACTGGTTGCGCAGTTCTGTCATACTTGATTCTTTTGCCAAGTTTTCTCCTGCAAAATAAAATAAAAAATCTCACTTTTATTAAACTTTTTCCACATACACATTGAATCTTTATGAGTATAAGTAGAAACTTACTAGCAAGCTGCAGAGTTTCATTCCTGAGTTCATCTCTTAACTGTTTCATGAAGATATTAAATTATATAAGGATTGAATATATATAATAGGAGATAGAAGAAGTTATGAATGTGTGAAGCTTACATTATTTGGAGTTTTGACAAGGTCAAGTGAAAGCAAGAATTGTTGATAGGCCTCTTTGTCTGACAAAAGTTTCCTCAACTCATCAGCACTTTTCACCCATCAAATGACAGTTTAGTTAGAAAAGATGGTGAAAACATACTTAACAAGAAACATGAAGAGATGCACAAGGGTTTAAATACAAAAGAAGGGGAGAATGATTGAGATCTACAAACTGGCAAACTCCAGATATTGAGGTATGATGTTTAATGTCATTTGAAGTATTTATTATGCATTTATGTTGAATCAATGCTATATTATATGCATATCCTTTTACAATGTTTTGAGGTTGGAACATGTTATATGCATGAATAAAAATGTTACCTTTTGTCTTGTAGATAAACAATTATGGCAGCAGCCTCTGTTGGAGAAACAGGAGATAATAAGTGAGGTTGAGGTTGAGGTTGATCTCCAGGCCTTTGCAGGGTATTGATGGAATTAGGTGTTGAGGGCCGAGAAGAAGAACTTGATGAGGGAGAATACCATGAGTTTGTAGAAACTTCCTGTGGCCTTGGATCAGCATCAGCTTGTTGTTCTTGAGAACCCCTGAGATAGTAAGCCCCTTAGTTATATGTTAATCTAATGAATAAATTCATCCAATGTTATACAAGGTAAAGGGCCACTCAATTAACCCTTGAAATACTTAGTCCTTATGAAAAACTATGATTGACAACATCAACATTAGATGATATGATACTCGTAATATTTGAATTTTTCAAGATTTTGGTTTGGCTCCACTATCCAAATATATACACAATTTGTCTTTCTATTATGTAAACAAGAACATGAGTATTAATGTATTTCCAATTCCGACTAAGCTTTAAACCAGTCGTAAACAAGAACAGTAGGTTATAAGATTGTGATGGGCAAAGGCACGTCTCGAAATTGCAATTGAAGCAAAATTAACACTTCCAAGTTCCAACTAATGAGCTTCAATTCAAAACCTTATTACAAGGCACCGATTGCGATTAGTAGTCAGATGAGAAAATCCATCTAAGATTACAACCCTAGAATATACGAGAATCGAACTATATGGAAGAATTACCAGAACTTGAACATATCGTTGATCTTCCGGTTGACTTTGAGACGTGAGATTACCAAGACTGCAAAATCGAAAACAAACCCTCAATGTTATTAAAATCATATCTCACTGCTTACTTTTTAAAATCATTCTATGCCAAACGAAAAAAAAAGGGGGGGGGGGGGGGGGGGGGGGGGGACAGAAAATTTGCTGCCGGGGATACAATTTTGCGATTACCTTTAACCACAAGATTTCAAATCCTCGGCGGGTTTGCGTTTCCCGGACGCGTGTGGGCCGATGATGTACCAATTCATACTACAACAATGGCATTATTGTTTATTAAGAAGAGCCAACAGTCCAACTCCAACACAACGCCTGCTTTTCTTGTTAGTTAAGGGTTGATCTTGTATATCATATAAACTTTAGGCTTATAATCCAACAACACGATATAATAATCTCTCGCAAATTTAAAAACACTAGTTTTTAGTTTTTAGGGTGTTCCTTTAAAATATTTGTGCCAAAATAACAAATGCTAATAATAACAAAATGTATTTATGTAATGGATCTTGAAGTATTATTTCTGCATCATTTTGACCAAAAATCCGCCTAATCCCAAGTGAATTCAAATTATTTTTGGTTTCATAACAATTCGGTTTTGTTGATTACCAATTCAAAAATCCAAATATCTCAACCAAATTGTCTGATCTAATTTGTTTAATTGGATAATATGATTTATTCAAATAGTGAACAACCTTAATATTTTCTGCAAATAGAAAATGATTTAATAAGGTAATATAGTCTTTGGTTTGTACATCTTTAGTGGTTATTGTTTTTTTTTTTTTTTTTTTTTTGCAAAATAAGTCCTTGAACTCAGCCCTTATGACCGGTTACTCCATGATAAGTTCTTAGTTTATACACATTTAGTTCTTAATTCTTTTTTTTTTGCAAAATAAGTTATTGTTGTTTTTTATACATACAGTCATTATGACCGGTTTCTTTAGGTTTTGCTCACGTAGCATCCTAAATGGGACGATCATTAATGAGGTGTTCTCATATATGGTTCACCTATGTAGTGGAATCATGTGTCACTTGTCACGATTTTGGTTTCATAGTGAGATCATATAATACCATTTAATAGAGGCAAATTAATATCATTGTACTTTTAATATAATTACAGGAGGTTACAAGTTATTTTAACCCTATCACTACGTGAATTCTTCTTTAGAAGTTTAGCTCATTCACTTCTCTCTTGAGATAGGAACCCTCTTCTTTAACATATAAGTTCATTTTCAAAATTCAGGTTCAATCTAACATGTTATTCATCAACAATTGCCAAAATTTACACTTTTTACATGCTTTCTTCAGTAACAAAAAACAAAATTTAAGCATGTAATATAGAACGTCAAACTGAAAAGAACAAAAAAACTTATTTGCAGAAAAATGGTCAAAATCGACATACCAATGAACTATGGAAGACTAAACTTTTTACTATGGTGTTTTTTTTTGTCTTGGAAGTGCAAATTCAAGTTGGGAGGAAGTAATGAAAAACAATCTTGTTGTCTGCTATGAAGATAGATTAAGCTAAAGCTGAAGACATATTCTTCTTGGGGAAAACTAGGACACCAATATTATTTGACAAATTTGTGAATTAGGTTACTGATATAAGTGACAGAAGAAACACATATAAGAACATTTCATTTATATTGTCCCACGTATGATGCCACGTAAGCAAAACCCTAAGAAACCGGTCATAATGACTGAATGCGTACAAAAACAACAATGGATTATTTTGCAACAAAAAAATCATTAATTAATAAATGTGTACAAACTGAGAACTACATTATATATTAAGTCATTTTTCCTGGTTTAACTTGGAGTAGTTAGTCATAAGGACTAAATATATACAAAAAACAATAAGTTTAAAGACTTATTATGCAAAAGGAAAACAATAAGGATTAAATATATACAAACCGAAAACTATATTATCTTATTAATTCATTTTCACTTTATTTTATTTAGTTTGCTTAACCAATGAAAAAAATACTTCCTAAATTAATTATCGAAAAGTTCTTCTTCATTTGTATTTAACATTTTATTTTAATTAACCCGTATAATATACGAGTCTCACAACTAATCAGAATAATATTTTTCCGTCAAAATTGTTTTTTAAAATTTAAAATTTCAGTGGTTAAATCATATTTTTTTTCAAATATAATTTTTTTGTAAAAAGTTTTATTTAATGGTTTTTGAAAAAAAAAACCTCAAAATGGATAAACTAGAAAGAAAAATCAACGGTTAAATTGAAAGAAACCCTAAATAACCCAAAATACAGTAATTGTTATTTACTTTAGATAAAAATCTATATTGTTCCATAATCAATTTTTTATATGTTTATAAGTAAACATACTTTTATGTTTATAAGTATGTATCATAGTTCTTGAATATCAATTTTTAAAATATATTCTCTAAACAAAAAAATTGATTAAAATATAGTTTTTCTAAATTTAACAATCACAACTTACACGAATGAAATATCAATAGCTTTTCAAAATTCATCCCAATTCACATATAACCAACCATTTTATATATTTTAATAGAATATCCTATTATATATGTAATTAACTAATATTTATTAAGAAAGTCATTCAAATAGGAATTTAAAAAAAAATAGAAAGACAAAACTACAAGAATGGTCTCTATGGTATGTCAAGAATTGTCACTTTAGTTCAAAAATGTTTGGACTAACATTAGTTGTCAAAAACTTTGATTTTGTTGCGTTTTTTGGTCCAATCTATTTTGATTTTTTTTCAAAATGAAAGTTTCCCGTTTTCTCTCTCTCTCTCTCTCTATAATATCTATCTTCCATCTTCACTTGATTTTTACACAGAAAAATACCACCACCACCACTTGCCGACAACCACTATTTATTGTCTAACCACTGTCAATGTCGGCGTAGATCTGAACTTCAGGTGATGGTTTCCTCTTCATTTTTATCGTAGATAAGAAACCATCACCATTTTTTCGTATTTGTTTTTCCAGATCTGAGGTGGTTTACGTTTTGAAAACCCTAGCTCCCAAATGACTCTGCAAATCTTCGTCTTCCCATTCTTACTTCCTTCTTCGAAGTCGTCGAACGACCACCGAAACAGATTTGGAAATATCTGTCGTCCTTCATCTCCACCGGAGAAGATGAAAAAGAACTCTTGCATTATCTGATATCGTCAGAGAAGGAAACTCGAGCAGAGAAGGGCGATCTAGAGCCACAGTTCGTTGGCGACGATGCAAGGGAGCATCCCGATCTGTAAACATGTGCAAACTATTTGGAAACCACCACCACTGTCTGCTAGAAATCGAGTCGGAGAAGGACGACCTGAGAAAGAGGGTGATGACTCCGATGACGAACAGATCTGAACAGATTTGGAAATACCCAAAGTGGGTTTTTAGATCGAAGGCGTTCCGAAGAAGAGGTCAATGTGGTCTTTCAAATCTTCTAGTGACAGCGATGGTGGTTTTTGGCGAAAATGGTGGCAGTTTGTTGGTTTCCGACAGTAGGGGTGGTTTCTGGCGAAGTATTAGAGAGAGAGAGAGAGAGAGAGAGAGTATAAAGAAACGTGGGTGGGGTGGGGTTTGGGTGGGTTATTAGGGAATAAATTTATTTTTATTTTTATTTTCATGTTTTTTAATCTGAAAATCAGAAAAATAAATAAGAAAAAAGAGAAAATCATATTAATAGGGGCAAATTCGTCATTTTGAAAAAAATCAAAACAGATTGGACCAAAAATGCAATAAAATGAAAGTTTTGGACCATTGGTGCTAGTCTAAACCTTTTTGAACCAAAGTGACAATTTTCGACATACCACATGGATCATTCTTGCAGTTTTGTCAATTATAAACCAACAAAATGAATCTAAGTTTTTAATTCTTGATCAATAATAAAAACAAAATGGCGGCATTATAGTAATTAATGGGAAATCAGTACCCATTTTGATAACCCTAACATCATTAGATTTGATACCTCGTACACTTAAACCCTCTCACCAACTTCAATAACTTAAACTCAAACCCTACTACCACCGTCTCCATCCTCCCTCGTCATTGCCTCCTACCAGTGGCGAAAGCAATGCCATCTTCCATCGCAAAACCTACCACCACTGCCTCATCCCTTTCCCTCTTTCTCTCTGATTTGTTTCACCATCGCCAAATCACACCTTTTCTTCCCCTCCTTGTATGTTGCCTTCTTCCACTATAAAACAGACTACCACCACCTCCTCCCTCCTCTGTCTCTTTCTTTCTGATTTGTTCCACCACCACATCGGATTTGCTCCATCACCGCCGTCTCTTCCCCTTGTTGCTCTGTTTCTCTTTAATATGCTCTTCGGTGGAAGAACTTAAAGATGGAAGTTCTGGAAACATCCATACAAATTGTTTGATGAAATGCATCAATAAAGTATGTAAGAGTTTAAACTATGAATAATTAAACTGTGAAATGAATATATTAAACCGTGAAATGGGTTGTGACATGAGACTAGTAAAACATATTAAAGGCCCATCGATATGCATAATATGAACCCATCTACAAACCACTTTTAATAAATGAAATGAGTTTTAGCAAAGGTTTCATGCAAGGTTGTTAAAAATGGGATTATGATTGTAATTTGCTACGATCGTACCTGAGTAAATCGATCCCGATCTCACCTGTGTTGTTTTTTGGTAAGATTGAGATAGAATCATAGGATCAGATCATAACATCGTATGATCTATCGTAAGATCATAAGATCGTATAATCATAGGATTGTTACTATATATTTTTTTTAATTATAATATTTTTTTTTCTTGGACTAACAACATAGGTAGAATATTCTTCTGAATTGTTTATTCTTAAATGATAGATTTGATATGTATTTTTAATGTTATAAATAATTCATTGTTAACTCACCGGTTAAATGAAAAATGTATTTTTTATGTTTTAAATGTTTTTGATAGAATCTTATGATCTCGATTCGATCTTATAATCATGAACTTGAAAAGTAAAAAACGATATTATATAAAATTTTGATCTTAACAACTTTTGTTTAACGCGCACTTGAACTACATGCTCCTTCACAAAGCAAAAAGAACCTCAAAATTAAGGGCAGCTAATAGAAAAAAAAAGTTGGTGGACTCTTAAAAGAATTTAAAAGTGCCAGTTTTGGCTTTCATTGCTATAAAGTATACAGCTATATCCCAACAAGTTTAGTCCTTCCGTAACAACATTTATCCCCTTTCACCCCACCAATTCCCATTCCATTGCAAATGGGAATCATTCCACTATCAAAGTATATATAAACCGAAAATTAAAGAACAAAAAAGAAAAAAATGAATCGGCGACATCATAACAAGTGATCAGAACGTTGCACAATGCGAAGGAAGACCAGTTTCATGGTCAACCATAACCACCTCAGTCACAGTACAATTAAGCACATCTTGTCTCAGTTTCGACCCTGCAGACTTTAACCCCTTCAAAGACACCGCTTGATTAAACAGATTCAAAGATGGCAACTTTGAAGCAGGTGGCATCTTCCCATTTGGCAAATAGTTCCTAAAATCATCTTTCAACAATGGGACCTCAAAGTCAGTCTTGTTATGGTGAACCACATTATCTTTAGCGCTAATATGAGCACCAGGTTCCATATGGTTCGTCGAGAAGCTCATCTGGTTGGGAAAATTTGGATAAAGACTAACATACCCTCGAAGATACATCATGTCAATCAGAAACTTCTTCCACGAAGCTTGCCATCCATTAGTTCTTGATTTCGGGATTTGTACAGGGTTCTTCTTCGCATCTTCTGTAAACCTCATGTTCATGTACACATAAAACTCCCGCCATTGCTTTGGGAAGAAAACAGCACCCCAACTGCATGGCAGTTGATGAAGGTAAGGTGTGTTTGGATGTATGTGCTTAAAGTATTCAGTCGCATTCCATTTAGGTCGTTCTTTCACTACCTCTACCAAACGAGGAGTGTATAAGGAGATAGATGAAAGTTCAGGGAGTGAAACTTGAGGGTCGTAATGGTATGCTAAAAGTGCATATTTGATCCATAAGTAATAGTAAGGAGAAACTTCGATATCGTCTTCTAAAAGAAGACCAAAGTCATCATCAGATGAAGGATACCAACTCTCGCTAACAGCTCGTATCAAACCTCCTTGAATGATTCGTCTCCTTAGGATTTTAGGTCCATGAGGCCAATCGAAGCTCTTTACAAGCTTCAGAGTTGACTTGTCGACTCGGCTATCCATGTTGAAGCTTATTGGGACCTCGTCCCCAAGGTAATACGCATCCTTTAGCGAATTCAGTAGTCTCGTTAGCGAGTTGACTCGGTTTTGAGTTATGATGTTCACTGATATCCTCATCTTGTTCCAATCTGTAAATGGTTAATTAATTAACATTATTATAATTTGTTAATGGAATTATGGAAGTAAGATGATGTGAATGTAATGTAATAAACAAATCTTACTTGGTAAAGCTGTAGAGCGTAGATCGGCCATCCATAGAACCTTTGAAATAGATGATCTAGGCAGATGAACCAAAGTCGAATTTGAATTACTAATTTCAGTAGCCATCTTCAAGGCTTTTCGTACATTGGAATCAATATCATCAACAGTTATGACAACACTCGGGTTATGAATCTGGATCAATCCTTTCATGCTAGCATAAACTGATTGTACAACAGGTACGTCGGAGTTTGAATTAACTCCCGAAACTGCTCCGACGCCCAAATCAAAGATCTTGAACCTTCTTTCTCTACACACCGTCTTCGGCCATTTTAAGGCGGAGGTGGCTTCCTCGCAGGAACAAAACCCACCTCCGGGAACTACAATGTAAGCCTTTTTCCCGACGGTTGATCGGAATTTCTCGAGGAGTGGGGCTAATGCTCTGACTTCGTCTGGTGAATGAGCGTAGAAAAAGGCGTCGACTTTTTGAGGATACATTGCTGCCCATTGGGTGATGTAGCCGGTGGATAGTGCTCGCCACCATTGATCATCTCGGACTTGAACAACGTCTTTGAAAATCACGGTGGTTTCGGCGACGTAGGCGAGCCTATGCTCACTGTCACCCCAAGTTTCCTTGTCTTTTGGGTCAACCGGAAGCACAAACGAACCTGCGTTTCTGTATTTTTGAAGCTGGTAGCTGCAATATTAAGTCCAATTAATCAATCATCAAAAAGGCTCATCTATTGATTTAATTTTAAAGAATGGTTGTTTTTAATAAGGAAATAGTTAACCAAATAATTGCAAAATAATATTAGTTATTAGAAGATGCTTCAAATAAGTTTTCTTCTCGTTTACTCAAATTCAACTTATTTTTATATTATTGAGCACTTAAAGTTTATATATATTTAAATATTTTTAATTTTTAATAATATTTAAACGAAAATAAACGAATTGTTAAAGAAGGCATGCACTTAGATAAAGTTAGTTAAATAACGTAGAAATTCAATTTATTGGATTTGTACCCAATCCATTGAAGATGGCAAGTCAAATGTATGATGTTGACTTATTCATGAGGATACGTATTTAAAAAAACTGTAAACGTCACGAAATCATCAAGCAATAATAACAATTTAATACTTTAAAAAGAATAGTGTAGTGGGATGCATTCAAGTGATAACTTTTCATGATAATTTAAAGATTTCAAATTCAAATATTGTTTTATGTATAATCTAATGGATTAATGGAATATAATATTGTAGATAGATAATTCTATTTTTTTTAATAACGATGAAAAACCAATTTATACCCTCATCAACATACCTTAGATGCAGATCTTCTCCTGTCATGAATGTGAAAGGAGTCTCAATAAAAAGAGTCTTGATAAGCTCCGCCGAGAGGAACCAAGAGCTCGAAAGAAAATCGACCTAAGACATAAAAAGAAAGATAAAACAATGAAATTAGATATTTAAAATACCATAATAATTGAACTGGTTACATCTTTCCATTTACATTTTCTTTGGAGAAACAATGACTTAAAAACTAATTTATTTTGACTGGAATCTTTTAATTCTTGATAATAGTTTTAATATTTAAGGTAACTTATATTCGTATGAAGTAGTAATAGATAATAAATTTTTATGTTAACTTAAAAATAGTAATTATTTATCTAAACAAACCTGCACAATTTTGTCGACTGTGATGTCATATGCAGGGTCAGGCAAATAAAGCCCCGCTTCTT